CTTGAAGGACTGATGAGTTCATCAGGAGGTGGAAGAGGATGGGATGAATCAAGGGCCTGGAGGAAGGTCTGTGTGGCTGGAGCCTGAAATAGACCGGAGTCCAGAGTTGATACTGGAGAGGTTGGCTGGAGCCGAGTCCTGCAGGACGAGGGACCCAGGCTGAGGAGTTAGGGGCACTGGGGAGAAATGAAAGATCGCAAGTGATCTGGGGGAGGGACTTAATCAGGTTTGCCCTTTAGAAAGGTCTCTGTCTGCAAGTGGGGAGGTGTGGGGAGGTGGGTGTAGGACAGTACAATTGGGAGACCACCTGGAGGCTGTTGCAGTGGCCCAGGTGTGAGAGGATGGCGGCAGGTTCAGCATTTAGAGGCTGACTGTTGTGTGGGGACAGCACCACTGTTAGATCTGGACCCCTGCCCCAATCCTGAGCTTGAGGGAGCCCCACATATCTCACACACATACTTTATTGAATAGCACATAAGCATCTCAGTCACTTGGTACCTGGCACAGAGTAGCCCATAGCCCTAAACACCCACTTCCATGGCCAATACCATTCAGGCTCCAGGGAAACAACTGTCCACATGCGTCACACAGTAGAGCTGCTCCCTGCCGTGGACGTGGCTGTGTCTTTAAGGTAGCAGATCCCCAGGCCTTCCTTCCATGGTGATGCTGGGCGGGTCTGAACCTGCAAACGTCTAGGTTAGTGGTTGAATACAAACTGTTCCTGCCACCCAGGGACTTCCTACACTCACCCCAACACAGTACAAACTTCTCCATCTCCTTGCATAGCCAGGGATGCTTTCATGCCTCTATGGATTGGCTTCTAGGGCAAAGGTCCTTAGCCTGCCCCTGAATCTGGCCCTGGCAGAAGGTCAAGAGAAGTTTGGCAGCAAAGAAGGAGACAAAAGCCCTCAAGTCAGGGCAGGGTGGTGATGAAGAGCTGTCCTGGCTCTACTACTTGAGAGCTGTGTGACCTTGGGCAAATTACTTAGCTACTCTGTGCCACCATTTCTTCACCTGTAAAATGGGGATACTAAGAGAACCTACTTCATTGGGCTGTTATGAGGATTAAATCCATTAATATTTATAAAATGCTTTTGAAATAGAACAAATAGCCTTTAAGACTTTGCTGATTATAATAACCACCACCATTTGGTCAATAACAAAGCTGGGCTGGGAGGAAACCAAGGAAGACCTCTGCACTGAATGTGCTTGCAGGCCCGTCCCGGCTCTAAAGACATCAAAATGCAAAGATGCGTATAGCCTAGGCTCAAGAAAGCAGAGTATTTCCTCCTATCACAGAGCTGAAGAAACTGACTTGGAGAAATGAGGTGACATGGCAGAGGTCGTAGTGAGTTTTAGGCAATCCGAGAAATGCCCCGTTTGAAACCCTTCATTTTCTGAGAAGGCCAATGTGAAGTTTCCTCACCAAGGCCAGGCTGAGGATCTCCTGGATGAGCAAGCAGGAAGAGCGCTGGCAGAGCAAATGGTCTGAATTAGGAGCTCTGTGCCTGGGCTGAGGAAACACCCAAAAAGGTTTGCTCAAGCTCAATCCTGTTGTGTGAT